AAGTCCACTCACCGGAGGTCGCGGGTAAAAAAGCGCCGACCAAATCCTGTTCTGTTTTGCCTATGAACAGCCAGCCAAAAGCCCGCGGAAGAAAGCGACCACGTCCCCCAGTTTAAACATGGGAGGTACCCCCCACATGAAATCCGATGCGAAGTGGATGTGGATATGGCAAGGTGAGAAATAAAACCGCGCGAAAGGGCGAGGCCGACTGGACCGGGACAGTGAGCTGGGTTAGGTAGGCAAATCGGAGAAACAGTCGCCGCCATTGGTCGTAGACTGTCTCACCTTCTTTTGAACTCAGTCATTCCAATGACGTAGAGAGTCAGGGTACTGCTTTTGGTGATGGATGGGATTCTGGGGCACTGACCTTCACAGGCTTGAGTCTTGAGTAAGGGCATGGGGTGCCCTGAAGCTGACGGGGTTCGTTTGTGCAAGCGCAATAGAGACAAGGAGAACACGGGCCTGGAATCGACTTGGCTGCTTGGCGAGAGGCGACAAGAGTTCTTCGTGATCACTGACAGCGGTGGCCAAGTCCATAGGGAGGAAGGGCATTGGATCAACGGGTGAAGGTCAGCATGGAAAGGCCGGCTTCTAGAAAAATTCCAATATGCGTGGCTTTTGGCTAGTGCAGCTGGGTCCATAAGTTATGCACACCTGCATGAGCGGCTTCAACAGCTGTGGTGATCCTAAATAATACCTCACATGCTGGAAGTTGACAGAAACAATTGAGCTCAACCCCGCACTATCCGAGCTCGGTAACATCGTGGTATTTGTGTCAAGCATCTCTGATGTGCGCTCTTTTTGTACGCTAAAACTGAGCGAGGCTCGGTCCCGTCGTCGTTGGGACAGGGCTTGCTCTGCTGGTGAAATGCTAGCCTGCCGTTTTGGATGGAGATCCATTCAGTAGCTGATGAAGAAAGTTCAGCGGTTCAATCAACTCTTCTCCAATAGCCCTCGCCCGCGTTAACCCGCAGGTTAGATCGAAGACGCTAATAGCGGCGCCTCATCTCATGCGTGGAAGATGAAGGTGCAAGGTGAATCTCCTCGGTGTCCTTCTTAGACGGACACGGAAAAGACCAGAGACAGGCCTAGGGCAGCCAAGCCGATCCAGCCCAGGCGAGGCCCTGCAGAAGCTCACCCATGTCGTTTCGTGAACCAGACCGTATCTCGCACCGTATTCACTACTGTCGAACTGCCAAGGCTGGCACAGGCTCAACAGCTGCCGATAAGGCGATTGGACATGGCAGCCACTCAACGGTGACAATTTGCGCCTGGTGAGCAGTGGATGCTCATGTGTGTCCTTATTCTGTGTTGAACCTGGAACTGTTCCGTCATAACAGGCCATCCCTTCTCAAAGTCATGACTACTTAGTCAAAGGCGAAGCAGACCGTAGTAAAGCTTGTCACGATACGTCTGATTACTTGTCATAAAATGACGACTATCATGACCACTCATCGAAACACGGCGATCCCGTTTCGGTCCTGCCTGAGACCCCTACGTTCAATTAACCTCATGCCCTTCTCGTGTCCGGGTCAAACAAGACTTGGGACAACAACTGATAGGCCGGCCGAATAAGAATTTTGCAGAAGGAATCTGGATTGAGAAGATGCAGAGTAACAGACCAGCGTAGTCGTCATCGGACGGGATCTATGAAGCTATCCCATCTGAGATTGTCAGACCAGTTCCCAGTCAGGTCAGTCCCGAGGTAGATCGCGTGGGGCGAGTCTCAAATATGCTGCAATTGGGGCAGCGGATCGTTAAATATATGCACTTTAGTGTGCGTTTGCTGTGTAAACTGGATGGCTTTTAATGTCACCTCTTGAACACGACTTGTTATTTACGACTACCAGCTTCAAGGTGGAAATTGGGAAATTGAACGACATGCTTTGCGCGCAAATAGCAACTTCGCCATAGGGAAGTGTATTCCGCGCACAAGGTGGGATAAGGTATGAAGATCTATGCAATGCTATTATACAGGTGAGATGTATCAATGGCTGCGGTGCGATTGTGAAATCGCCACTGAGTCATTGTAATTGCACAACATTGCACATCAGGACAATGACTCCCGTTGCGTTCCAGGGGCCATGAGGGTGATATTTCGCATTGATACTGTATTAAGAGTCTCAATCAGCAGCTCAAGGCAAGGCAAGGCTGGCTGATGGATTGACAGAAACGGCAATCCTGAAGCGGAGCCTATCATGACTTCTTCTGTCTTCTCCAGTTGTCGCGAGTCGCGATTTCGCTGACCGCCGGGGATGGGCAAGTTAGTGTCGTCATTATTCTCGACAAGCAGCGATACGCAGCGGGAAAAACGAAAAAGAGCACATGGGCATGGGGGAGGGGGGCCATCCCATGGAGGAAAATCCCTCAGCGGAAACGGGGAGCTTGACGCCAGGTACAAGCTCGGCCAGCAATGACATACAGCAGAGGTACCGGGGCCCCAGTATGGAGAGCGCGCTACAGGACACCAGAGGACTTTGTATTCAGTAGGTCCAGACGATGGCAGGCAGACACTCACAGTTGTACATGGCTTGATGCTATCTTGAGGCAAAATCCAGCATTAGTGAGGCAATACGTTGATACAATCGAGGACCGGGCTTTGAGCCATCCCACATGTACAACGGGGCTCTAAGGATGGAAGCCAACGGGATCCGGGAGATGCACAGTGTCTTACTGACTTTAATGCCAAAAGTCCATGGGTGTTGTAAATGGCCGTGGAGATGCTTTGGTGATAGTTCGGAGAGTATTACAGTAGGTAGGCAGATGCAACAGGGCGATAAGCAAGTTTGGATACGAAAGTAAAATTACTCGCTCAGCTGTGGGTTTTTCAGGTGTCTTGTTTTTCGTAAAGCTAAATCAGTGAAAACTGTACTTGCGCGCGATCACAGTTTGTACAATCCCGCGGACATTCCCCCAACCCCTGTCAAATAAACCCAACCCAGACAGGCAGGCAGGCTATTGTTTTGATTTGTTTGTATTGATTTCCTCGCATCTCATCGCTTTGTCAAGATCGAGGCGAATCGCTCTCATTGTGACATGGATGGTGAATGACTGATTGTTAGTGTCATCATATTGAGGTCGTCATTGTCATTGTAAGCCATCAATCAGCTGTCAGCCACGGGCAGTTAGATAGATGAGACACGTCCAATAGTTATCGCTTATCAGTTTACGTGCTCTCAATTGAGTTTTGTTTTGTCTCTTGTTTACGCTGAGCACTTTCCCCCCTTGTGCTCTATCGGCAGGGCAATCTCATAACATGAGTCTCTATCTGAGTCTAGTCTTGCTGCATATGAAATGTAAAATGGTCTCTGGTCCCTCTCAATCTCTTTTTTCCCACTGCATTTGCTATGCTCGTCTCCTTTGCACCCACTGTTGAGATTACCGTCTTGTTTCCATTCCCCACGCTGGGCGCCACACACTGTGCTCTGCACCTGCATAGAAAGGAAGAACCTGGGCTGGGCCGAGGACCAGTTTAACGAGCAGAGGCTGCCTTGAGTGGACAAGGGCAAGGGCGATTTAGATGGGGCATCATAAAGTGGACCGTGCAAGTCTGCAAGATGTAGCGACCGACGTTTCATAGAGTTACACCCTAGCACGGGCTGGATTGGCTCAATTGACACTCCCCAGTAGAGAAAAAAGTTGCAGGCATAGCTCTAGAGAAAAACATTTTGATGAGACGTGAGAGAACCCAGCTCCTAGCAGAACAGTGAAAAAAAATTGAGCCAGCCGACGCTACCGGGTACGGCAAGGGTAGCTCCTACACTGGCGTGCTGGCTAACACTCTCTGTCTCTAGTTTCCAGGTGGATGCTGATGCTACTGCGTTGTTTACTGCGTTAGAATGGTATTGACTGAGATGGGGGTTTGTTGATCTCAGATATTGTTGTGTTTGGTGGTTGTTACGGCTACCTGATCTGGATATTGACTTTCTTTCTAGCATCTCATACTTTCTGTTCAACGAGTGTTTAATGCGCTGCCAGCACGATATAAGTTTTCCAGTTAATACGCGCATAAAAATCTAAAAAATCACTACATCATCAAGCTTTAAAGTACAAATTCAAAGCAAGCACGTCGCACTTTACTTTCCCCAGGCCAATGATACGAGAAGGCTAGGGTAGGTGAGGGTGTAGCTAAACCGCAAGAGGGTGTGATGAAGTTTCTTCCCTCCGTGACCTTGGATGTGATTATCTCTAAGTAGCTACTGAGATGTCGTTCGCTAATCCCGACTCGTGCGGGCTTTAGTCGGCAACGCAGAACCAAAAAGAAGGGGGAACATTGAGCGCATATGGAAGAATGGCAAATGGCACTGGGCTACAGTCTGGTTATGGTCTGCATAATGGCGGCAGAAGTAGAACAATGGATGAGTGTAATGAATGAGTGAATGGCCAATCCAATTGAAATGGATGGATTGGACTGGGTCGGCAGGGCCGTGAGAGGTCGGATCAATTCGTACAGTAGAAGAAAGAAAGAGAGGCTCCTTGTTGCTAGCTCGTACCTCGAGGACCTTCCGGTCGTACCTGGAGACGGCATGGAGCTCATAATCTGGGGCATATTGGGATTCGCGAGAGACCATGCCAGGAACCTGCGCGAGACTCGTGGGAAGTGACTGATGGGCTCCATCCTAATCCACCCGTCCCGGCTTGGGAAGAGGAAAAGACCCATATAATTCTTTTGTGCTGTGGAGCCCTGCGTCGCCGTAGGACCCGTTTGATGAGACCCCGGTCATCTGTGTTCTTCTTTTCTGTCTTGTCTACTTGTGATGGGGGGGCCACAGAAAGTCAGTGAGTAGCGAGTAAGATGGCGACGTGCATCAAAGTGAGAGACAATCAGTCTTGGAGAATCAGTCTTGGAGAAATATGCAGGCATTGAGGTGTGGTACCCACTTCAAGACCGGGTCTCCATCATTTTGATCAGGGCCGAAAGTCTGTTGGCAGGGGCCATGCAACGCATGCACGAGCGTGGGCCGGCAAGCTCGCCGGGAAAGAACCTAGCCCAAGCTTTCTCACGCATCTCACTTTGCAATTCAAAAAGAAGCTCTCGCCCAACCCAAACTTTCTCTTCTTTCCTTTCCTCTTCACCCACGAATGCTTCATTCATAAGCGACCCTAACTTCGTGCGGTGCTTGACACTTTCTTCCCTTTTTCCTCTCCACTCTACCTTGTTCCTCTGTTTCTCTCACACAACAACAGAAGCGGTACCAACCTAAGCTATTATTTCCCAATATCTGCTGCCCACCTATAGCCGCACTCTACAAAACCTAAGAATCGACATTCTCTTTTCCATCATCTCCAACGATGGCTGAAGAGAAGGCGGCCGGCGCTCCTGCGCTGGACACCAACATCGAGACTGGCGGCTTCGATGAGAAGCGAGGACAAGCTCCTCCCCCCACCCACGCCCCTAAGGCTCCCGTCGCCGAGGATGAGGAGCCCGACGAGGACATGGACGCCCTCATTGAGGACCTCGAGTCCGAGGACGGCCACGCCTTCGACGAAGAAGAAGAGACCCAGCCTGGAGGTGGCCGTGTTGTTCCCGAAGATCAGCTCCAAACCGACTCCCGAGTGGGTCTCACCGAGGCCGAAGTCATCAACCGACGACGCAAATGGGGCCTCAACCAGATGAAAGAAGAGAGAGAGAACATGATCCTCAAGTTCCTCATGTTCTTCGTGGGCCCAATTCAATTCGTAATGGTTCGTAAACCGTACCCTGATTTTTCATGCTTTGCTCGTCTTTTTCCCGGCCCTCCGACACTCGTTTGGCGTTTTTGTATCCTGTTCTCTTCTCAATTGCAATCTCCTGGTTTTTCTGTTCACTTTGAACCAACTTTCAGCAAAATACGATGCTTGGAGCACCTTCTACGTCGTTTCTGCTAAAATTTGTTTCTTGGCGAAGCTGGCCGCGATACCAGAGATGGTGTTGTGTTGACCAGGTTTTTAGCGCGGTGAAAATGGACCCACATTGCCTATTTAGGCAAATTCCACTTTCACGAACCAAAAAATGGTCTAACTCGACCATTTCTACACCAATTTTTGTGATTTTTATAGCTAACGACTCGTAGGAAGCTGCTGCTGTCCTCGCTGCTGGTCTTGAGGACTGGATAGACTTCGGCGTCATCTGCGCGCTTCTCCTGCTCAACGCTTGTGTTGGTTTCATCCAAGAGTTCCAAGCAGGCAGTATTGTTGAAGAACTAAAGTCAGTTGCCCAAGCCTTTCTTCTAGAGACCCCCGAGGGACCTCTAGACGTTCTCCCAGGCCGGTTTCACGTTCTCTAGTGTAAAAACTAACGCTGTTTAGGAAAACTTTGGCTCTCAAGGCTGTTGTCCTCCGTGACGGTACTCTCAAGGAAGTCGAGGCCCCCGAGGTCGTTCCCGGTGATATTCTCCAGGTTGAAGAGGGAACTATCATCCCTGCTGATGGTCGTTTCGTTACCGAGGGCTGCTTCGTTCAGGTCGATCAGTCTGCCATCACTGGCGAGTCTCTGGCTGTCGACAAGCACGCTGGTGACAACTGCTATGCTTCCTCCGCTGTCAAGCGAGGTGAGGCCTTTGTTATCGTTACTGCTACTGGTGACAACACCTTCGTCGGTCGAGCTGCTGCCCTTGTCTCTCAGTCTGCTGGAGGCACTGGTCACTTCACAGAGGTTCTCAACGGTATTGGTACAATCCTTCTGGTTTTGTATGACTTGCCCAACCCCAACTACTCCAAAACTGAGCTAACATCTTCAGGGTCGTCGCTACTCTGCTTGTCGTTTGGGTGTCGTCCTTTTACAGGTCCAATGGGATCGTGGACATCCTTCGGTTCACTCTAGCGATCACCATCGTTGGTGTGCCTGTCGGTCTCCCTGCTGTCGTCACTACCACCATGGCTGTCGGAGCTGCCTACCTCGCCAAGAAGCAGGCCATTGTTCAGAAGCTTTCAGCTATCGAGTCTCTGGCTGGTGTCGAGATTCTCTGCTCTGACAAGACTGGTACTCTGACCAAGAACAAGCTTTCTCTTGCCGAGCCTTTCTGTGTTGCTGGCGTTGAGCCCGATGATCTGATGCTTACTGCTTGTTTGGCCGCTTCCCGCAAGAAGAAGGGTATTGACGCCATTGACAAGGCTTTCCTTAAGGCTCTCAAGTACTACCCCCGTGCCAAGAGCGTTCTGTCCAAGTACAAGGTTCTCGATTTCCATCCCTTTGACCCTGTCTCGAAGAAGGTCCAGGCCGTTGTTGAGTCCCCTCAGGGCGAGCGAATCATCTGTGTCAAGGGTGCCCCACTTTTTGTTCTCAAGACTGTCGAGGAGGACCACCCCATCCCTGAGGAAATTGATGCAGCCTACAAGAACACTGTCGCTGAGTTCGCTACTCGTGGTTTCCGATCCCTTGGTGTTGCCCGCAAGCGAGGTGAGGGTGCTTGGGAGATTCTCGGAATCATGCCTTGCTCTGACCCTCCCCGTCATGATACTGCCCGCACTATCAACGAGGCCAAGCGCCTTGGTCTCTCCATCAAGATGCTTACTGGTGATGCCGTCGGTATTGCCCGTGAGACTTCCCGTCAGCTCGGTCTTGGTACCAACGTTTACAACGCTGAGCGTCTTGGTCTCGGTGGTGGTGGTGACATGCCTGGTTCTGAGGTCTACGATTTCGTTGAGGCTGCCGATGGTTTCGCTGAGGTTTTCCCCCAGCACAAGTACAACGTCGTCGAGATTCTCCAGCAGCGTGGTTACCTTGTTGCCATGACTGGTGATGGTGTCAACGATGCTCCCTCTCTGAAGAAGGCTGATACTGGTATTGCTGTTGAGGGTGCTTCCGACGCTGCCCGCTCCGCCTCCGACATTGTTTTCCTTGCCCCCGGTCTTGGTGCTATCATTGATGCTCTGAAGACTAGCCGTCAAATTTTCCACAGCTAAGTATAACCTTTTCCTACAACTTCAGGGCCTTGCTAATCTTCCAATAGAATGTACGCATACGTCGTCTACCGTATTGCTCTCTCTCTTCACATGGAGATCTTCCTTGGTCTTTGGATTGCCATCCTCAACAGGAGCTTGAACATTGAGCTTGTCGTTTTCATTGCCATCTTCGCCGATATTGCGACCCTTGCCATTGCCTACGACAATGCTCCTTTCTCTCAGACTCCCGTCAAGTGGAACCTGCCCAAGCTTTGGGGTATGTCCGTCCTCCTCGGTGTTGTCCTTGCTGTTGGTACTTGGATTGCTCTTACCACCATGTATGCCAACTCTGAGGACGGTGGTATTGTCCAGAACTTCGGTAAGATCGACGAGGTTCTCTTCCTTGAGATCTCTCTTACTGAGAACTGGCTCATCTTCATCACCCGTGCCAACGGCCCCTTCTGGTCTTCCATCCCCTCTTGGCAGCTGTCTGGTGCCATCCTGATCGTCGATATTCTTGCCACCCTCTTTTGTATCTTCGGTTGGTTCGTTGGCGGCCAGACCAGCATCGTCGCTGTCGTCCGTATCTGGATTTTCTCTTTCGGTGTCTTCTGTGTCATGGGTGGTCTCTACTACTTCATGCAGGGCAGCACTGGATTTGACAACCTGATGCACGGCAAGTCCCCCAAGCAGAACCAGAAGCAGCGATCCCTTGAGGATTTCGGTAAGTTTCAACCATTGACTTGACGGTAACATTCAGTTCACTAACTCTACTGCAGTTGTCTCTCTTCAGCGCGTCTCGACTCAGCACGAGAAGTCTCAGTAAACTAGATGGTATATACCCGGACCACCATCGACCGGACTTTTCACTTTCGCTTTGTCTAAATTTGAACTGTATTACTCGCACCCGAGTATTAAGACTCCTGGAGTGGTTGAGGAAACTTTCATACCCCTAGAGAACGTCTATTAGACATCTAATAATACAAGTAAAATAAATAATTCGTCCTCTGAAACATCTATGATCTAATTCGTATCTGTGCTCGTCGTCTGCTTTTGCCCCCTCGGTGCTCACCTGATGCTTGGCTATCTCACCTGCGACAAGTTGGCCTTCCATTTGGGTCAGTACAGACCCACCATCCTTGATTGGCCTCTCCTTCAGCCTCGCCTAAGCACCATCCACTCAGTGTGACATCAGTTTGCAACCTGAAGCCCCCTCCGTGTCTTAACTGCTCACATTTGCCGCTTCACAAATCCTGACAGCTTCATTACTCCGCGGTCCTTGTCAAAAAGCACGCGTGGAAGCAGTCAAGTGTCATAAGGACGATTATGAATCGCGAAATCCCTGGCTATTACTACGGTACAAATTTCTGACAAACAACTGAAGTTTACGTACTTACTTACACTTTGGCAGATAATGAGAAAAAGAAGTATTTCAAGATCGAAAAAACGCATACGGCGCCCTCGTCGGCTGCTTGGTCGTCGGATGCCGTGAAAAGGCGCAAAGTCGAGCACGATGCACAAAAACTTGCGGAACGCCAAGCGCATCAAGTAAAGAAACACATCAAGCGCCATTTCGTCGCCAGAGATACAGTGTCCTCTGCACTCCTTACGAGGGAGATCGGTCTTCCCTATGTCGCCGAGAGCGGCCGTGGTAGAGTAGAGGATGAAGACCTTGGTGCTGCAGCGTGGGCAAGAGGCTTAGTAGCCAAAGGCAACGTCCCTTTTGCACCAAGCTTTGCAAGAGAGCGACATGCAAATATGCCATGCTTTTATGTTTCTGGGGAAGATGAGAAGACAGGCCTAGGGGCTTCTTATGCCAGTAAGTCATTGGGCTGCTGCAGTGCATGACTTACACATGATGTCTGACTTGCCTTCCAGCTTTGGATGAGGAGACTTTGGTGGGAAGCTATATTCCTACAGATGAGAATGACGAGTTGGTCTGCGAGGCCGGAAGATACTTCAATCTACTAACATAGTACAGAATTCATTTCTCACGAGAAGCACCCAGCTCTTCTGGCAGGACCCTATCATTCCGTACAGAGGCGGTACGATGTCCACAGATGTCATCAATCAAGTATCACCAGCCTTCACATACAATACTCTTGACTTCGCGCGAACCTGATAATACCTGCGGAATATACTTCTTTTCTCCACGACTGTCAAATCATAGGGACCGCAATTGCCCACAATGGCTGCTTGGCGAATGTACCTATTCTTTCTGCTTGACCATATACTGAACCCTGCTGACTTGTAAACAGCAATTTTCTACCAGAGAGTCGCTTTCCCTCACGAGGGACGTGGCGAATGGATGGTTCACAGTAGTACACCCGCCCCTCCATCTTCGGACCTTACTTGTGTTGCTAGCTCCAACAGAGGTCTCCTTAAAATGCACTCCGATGGGAGTGTCTCGGTGGTTGCCCCCAGAGTCGCCCAGAACGGTGTACAGCTCCCACAAGAAACATTTGCACAAGATTTCCAGGAGGGCAACCATAACGTTGTGCTTACTGGTGGGAGGCAACCTAGGCTTTGGATAACAGATCTTCGCGCCCCTGAACCACAATGGTCGTTTGCGAATCACGCAAGCTCCATCTCCCATATCAAGAGTGTAAACCCCCATCAGGTGCTGGCATCGGGATTGAAGAGCTCAATGGCTCTCTACGACGTACGCTATCTTTCAAGTGACCCACGCGGAACAAAGCCACTGTTGCATTTTCATGGACATCGCAATGAGGCTCACTTTCACATTGGTTGGGATGTCAGTCCGGAGCTGAACGTGGTTGCTGCGGCACAGGATAATGGGACTATGAAGCTCTTTTCACTAAGATCAGGCCGTCAACTACGCTGCCCAGCTGTCGAGACTATTCACGTCGATACGCCTGTCAAGGCGCTGATGTTCCAGAGGATGCCTAGAGAGAGGATGCCAAGTCTTTTTATTGGGGAAGGGCCTTTACTGAGGAAGTTTTCCTTCGGAATATTGGAAAGGGATGATGAGGCCTGAAATTCGTCCCAGGATAAAATTCTTTGCAGAAATTGCGTGACAAAGGCATAGGTAAGGTTTTGGCTTTGAGGAAACGAAAGTCTTGGTGGAATATCTAACGGAAACTAAACTTTATAATAACCCGACCGTAAAGGAAAACAAACACGACCCAAAGGAAAAATGACATAAGAAAAGTGATATCAACCCAATGAACAAACAGCGTATGCCCAGCTGTGTTCCAATGCTGGATTACTCCAAGTCTTCTCATTCCCTTACCAGGGGCTACGTAACTAGCATATCAACCCAAACAACTATTTATGAGAGTGTGAAAGAAAGTCACCAAACAAAAGAGGTATGTGAATAGAGCTAGTGGCAATACTTTATTTAGATCGTGAGCTTTGCAACAGGATCAAAGCGCGGTAGAGACACTTCCTCAGTCACATAGCCCTGAGACTGAATCTTGGGCGATATAGATACGAAGAGAACTAGGTGAGGCGCCAGGGATTAGAAACCATTCTTCCATCATCTGTTTCGCCGGAATGTCATTGACTGAATTTTCTTCCTCTTGTTCAAGCCTGATGTGTCAACTCCCCTGTCATGGCTGGCAGCGCCACAACCATCAAAATAGCCCCTGATAGAGAATGACTGCTCACAATATGGCACCCAACATGGACTGGTAACGGGAAAAGCGGGTACCTTCAGCCCATTTTCATAGATACTGATGCATATGAGAGAGATGCTAAAATAAAATGAGAGAAGACGTGGCGATTGAGTGACATCTGGCAAGCTGATAGTTGACCCGTGTTCAAATTCCTCTCCAACAAGGACGAATCTTTACCAATAGCAAGTCTTCAGGATTGAAAAGCTCTATTACTTGTGAGATTCTTTAATTGACCAGACCATCAATTTCAGCCTCGAGGCGTCTTGAGAATAGATGGCTTGTCGAATGATGCATGGATTGACCACATGACCATGTATGAAGACCTTGCCGTCTAAGATCGCTCTGTATTGATCAGACAAGGCAAGCTCACTAGTCTGCAGCTGGTAGGGTTTAAGACACCCATTTGGCTCTATCCAACAGCTCAGCTCGCCCGTGCATAGTCAAACCTCGCAAAACGCCAATATTGGTTATATCTTCTATATTAACATCAACTTAAGATAACTGAAGCCTAAATGACACGGAAGCTCGCTTTAGCTCTGGCTCACCGCTCAGTCCTGTTTGCAATTCCTTTGTTGTAAGCCCTGTTGTAACTTGGTAGGTCTTATGCACAACTTGACCTGTCACTATGGTAATGCTGCGCCTTCTGGATTAAGGACACAGTCAAACAGAAATGTAGGTTGCATAAGTAGTCACACGGATTAAAGGTGCGGTTACATAGAATGCCACAAAGGATTTCACTTTCAAGGAACAAAAGGAACCAAGTTGATATTGATTGCCAGCTGTTGCCAACTGTTGCCAACTTCACTTGACTGTTTGCTCGTTGGCTTTGAACTATCCTTCCTATAAGTTCTCATCGTATATTTTTCTCCTTTTCTCGAGCCATATTCCTTCCATCAATTCCCATCACATATTTTCCACTCACCTCTGCACAGAAATCGACTGCCAACGAGCCCAGAGAGCCTGCTAGTCGATACTCCACAATGGGAGTGGTAAAGGTAGGTGGATGAATCTGCTTTTATATTGCAGAGAATCGACTGGCATGGTCTGAAAAGGCTTAAGAATGGTGGCATATCCTTTTCAGCGTCAGTTGTTACATTCAGGCTTCCACAGCGTGCCCCTTCACTCTGTGCAGCTCTCCAAACACTATCATCTTCACTGGGAATCTCAAGGCTTGAATTAGTTGATAATGCATGAAACTGACTTATGGGTTTAGCCTTTCAAGTGTCCCGAGTGTAGTAAGCCGTATGGAAGTCAGTCAGGCCTGAGGGAGCACGTCAATACCGCTCATAAGAACAAGAGACATCGATGCCCGTACGGATGCGGAAAAGAATACACTCAATGGAATGGGATGAATGCACACGTCAAGGCCGAACATGAGAATACTGTCTACCCATGCCCATACAAAGAAGAAGAGGGATGCAAGGTCAAAGACTTCAGACAAAAGCGGTCTCTGGATGACCACATAGCCAAGAAGCACCAGGGAAAAGAAGGGAACTCTTACAAATGTCCTGACTGTCCCAAAAAGTATACCCAGTCACAGTTTGGCGAAACACGTCAAGGCAACGCACGAAGGCGTGCGTCTCCCTTGCCCTTACAAGGAAGAGGACGAATGTGAAGTAGATTTTGCTACTCCCGACGGAGTTAAACAGCACGTCAAAGCTATTCACGAGGACTGGCCACGCTTCCCGTGTCGAGCCACCGGCTGTACGCAAACATTCAAGCGTGAGGATTACGCCACAAGTCATTATAAGCGCGTCCATGTCGATGATCCCTTACCGTACAGCTGCGGCTTCTGTGGTAAGAAGTTTCAGTTCCTTCCCAGCAAAAATGCACACGAGGAGAAACACACACAGCACGCCTGTCCAAGGAACAGCTGTTATCAAGGGTTCAATTCCATTGAAGAAGCCTTGGAGCATGCGAAGGATCCCCAACATCGCAGCGATCAACAGTTATACGAATGCCCGATCAAGAATTGTCGCCTCGCAATCATCGGCAAGGTCCTAGACAAGCCTTCTCTGGTAAAGCATTGGAATATGCACATCAAGCGGGAACACATTTCCGGTGAGCTTGAGTTGGTCCTCAAAGATGCAAAACAGCCGCCTTTCCGAGACATTCCAATTCTTGGTTCGATACTGGCAAACAACCACTCAATCCTCTTGGCGTCTGCTTCACTCGACAACGCTGTGCCTGAGCCCGAAGAAGACGCAGATGAAGATGAGGGGGGGGGACGAAGAGGAAGACGAGATCTTGATTAGTGACGACAAGGATATCAATATCCTTGAGCAAAACAAAGATTGGTGGGGTATGTATGCACTTGTTATCGCCCTCGATGAAGATTGAAGAACTAATCGTCCAAATAGAGTCGCACAAAGATCACCTCGTTTCCTTCAATGCCAGGGGTTACAAATGCGCCGGACCGGCCCTTGAAACGACGCATTTCATTGTTGGGGGCTGCCCCGTAGGCGCAATAATTGATTTCGACACAGCATTGATGAGACGCAGTCGGGGCAGAAGGCTCCCGACCATGTCGCTCGATAGTCGGTGTGCGAGCTGCCACTCAGAGATGAGGATTAGACAGTTGATCAAACGATTCGACTCTCCCAAGCTCGACCCGAAAGGTGGTCTCGGTGCCCTGACCGAAACGTTTGCCACCGCAATATCAAAAACCTGGACATGCACCAAGGATTACGAACGGCGAGTTCAGCAGCCAGTTCGGGAACAATCGCACCGAAAAGTTGTCATCATTGACAACGAGTTCAACCCGATTACGCACGAGCTGTATGAAACAGCCATTATTGATCGGGTTTCTGGCGAGTCACTCTTGAACACTCTGATCGTTCATACCGAAGAAACAAAGTCGACTGTTTCCACCCGGCGTACACAGGGAGAGCGGGTCGATATTATCAGTCATCTACACAGGAAAAAGGTGTACGCTCGAAGCCGCGGATTGGCACGGATGGACGTGCACGAAGTCGCGAAGAGGTTACAAGAATCCGGCATTGCACCAGAGACAATATTTCTGGCCTGGCATGTATCATGCACTGACCTTCAGCTTCTCAGAAACTTTTTGGCCAAGGGGGGATACCACAATATCTTGCCCAAAGACAGAAATTGTTTCCCTTTGATCCCTCTCTTCCGCGCCAACGTGCCTAAGGGGTGTTTCCCTTTACGTCTTGAGGTCGTATACCCCGTAATGTTCCCACGGAGCGACTTGTGTGGGCTCAACCACCGAGCTGAAATCGACTGTCAACAAACCCTCCGGGTTTGCAATGGCTTTGATGATTTTTGTGAGCCGGTTGAGAGCCGTGGTAAGGAATGGCGGCCTGCTAGATTCGAGAAGGAAGCCCAGCGCCTCATCCGGGATTACTTTGTTTAAGGTGAACGATAGTGCTGCGTGGGTTCCTCAGGCATCCAGCACCCACTCCATCTTCAAGCCTGACTGACGGTAGCTTCCCTTATTATTAGTCCTCACTCTCATACACACATCACATCTGCGCTGCTCACACCCTCACGACAAATAGCTTCGGAAGCGATGGAAGCATCTTGTATGCATGGCTTGGTGGTGTTGCGGAGACAACGCAGATCGGAGGATGAGAAGGCAATCGGCAGGTAGCCATAAGCTTAGACTAGGATTTAGGGTCGTTATGATGAGATTGTATAAATTTAGACTAGATTTAGGCCAGCTTTTGAAGACTTTAGGATGAAATCCCCCTGGGGCAACCCGAGCTTTTCAAAAAGCAAAGGGGTTTTCGTTGGCTACCATCCAAGTCACCCGCTGCTTTATTTACCTAAACCTAGGAATTATACCCTTATAGCGCGTGCAAACATGCATGCATACGTATTTTGGTGGCTCTGTAAACAAACAACTCCCATAAGTGTGATAAATGCCGTATACTCTGGCCTGGCAACAACCATGGTCCAGGAATCACATCGCAATACGGCATCCCATTTCCCTTGAACAAAGACAAGCCAAAGTCAAACCTCCAAGTCTTGGAGGAACAGACACACAAGACGCCGAGTGTGAGAAAAAAAAAACATTGTTGTACAGAGTAGTTTTTTGATGCAGTGCTGGAAAAGCACCTGTGTCATCGACTGCTGGACGAAGTTGGTCGTGGCGAAGTAGATTGGCTGAGGTTGAATGTTCCAACTAGCTTAGGAAAGGCCTTGGCAAAAGCATCACCCAACTTCCAGTTATCCAGGTTCCGTAGATGGCGCTCAAAGACGGGATTGATCATGAGCTCATCACTGTCTGGGTCCTGAAGTAACGTGTCGGTTTCCTCGTATGGCCAAGACAACGAAAGAGTTGTGGTAAATGGGACAAAGAAGTTATCAAAGGGGTGTAAGAGCGGGTTGTGATCGCGAACAAGATAATCTCGCATCTTAGGGAAGGGAATGTGGTCAAGCCAGGCAGCATGTGGGATGGTGAGCTGGGAAGGACATGGTGCCATCCATTTTGGGAGCCGATCATAATTCTCCTGAGTAGGCTCTATTTGCCAGCGCATGACAAGAAACATGATGTAAAGCACGGCTACGCGCTCAGGGAGAGTCGAAATGTCGGGAAAGGTGGCGAGGATATCGGTGAAGACTTTGGAGAGAGGGTGGCTGTATGCGCTGTTGGCAGGGTTGAGAAGTGATGAGACAGAAGGATAACGAGGGCCAACAACATCTTGAGCAGGCAGCCCATCCGCAGCACGTTGACGACGTTCGCTGAGGAAATCGAGTAGTAAAGAGTCAAGGGGACAGGTCGGTGGGCAATTCTTGATAGGGGTTGCATGGTCGGTAGTGCCGGGTTCACTGCGAGGGACAGGTCCACCAGCTGTACTCATAGCAGGACTATAGCTAGGACTGTGCGAGCTTTCGGGTGTGTGGGCAGCCGACAGTGTATGATGGGACGGGGGTTGGTGCTGGCCTTGCTGTTGCTCCTGTGACGGTTGGCCTGGCTTTCCTTGAGAGCCCCAGCTTGCCGACCGACTATGCAACGCACGCTCTTGATTCACGCCTGTCCAGTCATGCTTCATAGGCATATGGCGGAACTGCGGCGTGTCTTGGGCGCCATTAACACCATTCTGTATACGGTTCACCCGCTGAGATGGTTCCAGTAGGAATTCTAGTCCAAGACGTTCAGGACCCATATCGAGTCCGTGTTGGAGATTGCGGCGCTGTTGAGTTAATTGGCTGGCAGCCTGAGTTTCACCAGTGGTTGGTGGTCCAGTGGGCGGGTGAGGAGAGTGGTGATGTTGAGGAGGCGCATGGTGCTGCTGGTGATGCCAGTGACTTTGACTTGGTGGAGGGTCATGACTTGGAGGAGACGCAACACTGCCGGGTGTTGAAGCAGCGTTTGCATTGTTGTGGTGATTGTTGTGGACGGCCAGAGTAATAGGATGCTGTACGGGGGGCGCATACGTCTGAGCTGGTGATACATATGCCTGTTCGATGCCAGCTACACGCTGTGTTAGTCCTGAATAAAGGGAGAAAGAAAACGAGATGCTTGCCTTGACCAATAATGGGCTGAAGCATGGCAACTATGCCAGCTAAACGACGCTTGATGTCGGCATTCTCTTGCTCAACAGCTTCTTTGGCACGAAGAACGCTCTGTAATTCTTGGTAGGGTTGCTGGTTGGTGAGTTCCTGGATCTGGCGCTGAAGGTCCTCGATCTGATTCTTGGTCCGCTCACGAATAGCCCGCTGAGCCTCACGGTCTAGAATGGTGTTAGCGGTGTTGAATATATCTTATCAAATACGATGAGACCAATGGGGTAAGTCTCGAGACAGGAAGGGATAGACATGAGAAGATCAACAGGAACAAAGACGATCATTATTCGTCAGCAGCATGAGTGCCTGAACGGTGATAGGGTGGTTGATATGTCATATCACCAAAAAGGAAAGAAAAAACTGCACTCACCATTCGCTCTCTTCTTAGCAAGTTGCTCAGGTGTCAAATTGGCGACACCTCGACTCCCGGGACCTGCCTTCTTCCTCCTTTTTGCGCTATCATCACCACCACCAGCGGGTGAACTAGGGTTGACCGCGTCAGCGTCGCGTTTGAGGGAAGCCGAATCATCGTCCGGGCCAGGGCCGAAGCCAGCGGGACTCTGAACGGTGCCTGGGGTGTCGGGACCGGAGGCCATCGGAGCGGAAGCGGGAAGAAGCCCCCGTCTCGGAGTGGGTTTGTCCTCGGCAGTTGAAGCGGAACAAGACCGAGGCGAGAGGGAAAGAGGCTGACTGAGACGGAACCGATGTTTGTGTCTGAGAGTGTGGGGATGAGTTGTTGTGTATCCACTCGCTCGGCGAGCCAACCTTACCTCAACGAGGTTCCTTGCCTTTCAGACAAGAGGAAAACCTCTTCCGACCTGGCAAGGAGGGTCCTGCCTCGTCTCGCGTCTAATCGTTCCTGTCTGCTTCACTTGCTCGCTCGACTTAACGAGTCAGGACAAAGCAATGCAATGCAATGTACGACACGACACGACACGACCCGGCAAGGGGAGTTTTAGGGGAAATAGTCCGGTAATGAAGATGAAGGTATCCAATCCCTTCTCACCTGTGGGGTCACTCCCCTACTCGATTCTTCTCTGCAGCAAGAAAAAAAGGAAAAGGCGAGACCAGGCCAGGCCAGGGGCTAGATCGAGTACTCGCGTCGGTTGCACAGGCACAAACAAACCAGAGCAAATCAATCGATTAACGACCGACCGGGTCCATGGAAACAATTGTAACTGGAAAGAGACAGGGCACAGCTTCTGAGGGGGGACTGTTGACTCATAAAGCCCGCCAGCTCCAGGTTGAGAACGAGTCATGGACACTCACAAGATTGGACTTGAGGGGTGAACCATGAACGCACAGACCACGAGCCACCGTCGAATCAGGTGACTCGGTAATTAAACGAAAACTCCCCCAACAAGATACCATCTGGGAATAATAGCACCGAGTATGACCGTGAGAATAAGCGCACTGACATGCATGCATTTTCTATAGGAGATCTTGATTGTTTTCATCGTGATGAAGGTGGAGTTGATCCAAAATTTCCAATATTATATATCAACGTTGGCAGGTAATTCATGTCTCTTTAACCTACTAGCGTAGTAGTTCCGCGACAATCTCGACCTCATCTCAAGTTGTCTACCCTGTGATCCTGAGTTCTATCAAGAAATGTTAATGAGACATGGAATTATTGCCTGGGGGACTCCTTATTTCACATCGCCAGGTTGTATGGCATTGCATCATAAAGAACACATGCATCAATACTGTGATGGTACAATTACTATAAAGCCGCCAACAAAACAAGAATATCCTCTCTCCAAACCTCTTACATCCATGCGGTCCTATCCCACAAAATCTCTACCATCCCTTGCCTTGTCCTTTTGCGTGTGTCTCGTCTTCAAGCTCATTAAGCACCCTGCTATAGCCATACAACCAACTGCCTATATTCAACAAACCCAATACGTGGTATTCCCAAGTCCAACGTCTACTCCGCCGATGCCCTTGCAAGAGCCTCGTGCAGGTGAGGTGGGAATCTGTATCGCAACTGACTGGTGTAAGTCGTCAAATCCAGCGTCATCTGCTTCAGTTGATCCACCATCAATCGTCGTGTTCCTTCGTTGCCGCTGAACTGGCCGCTTGTGAGCTGCTCTCGCTGGCGAACGCAGCAAATAATCGTCCACATTAATAGGTTGGGCACGTTAATAGACACGGGTTGTGAGAGTCCAGAAAACTTTGAAGCGTATGCTCGGATGGTACTGCCATCGCCTGCTGCGTCCAGAGGGAGGATTTCGAGGCTTCGGATTCTCTGTTCAATTCGTTAGCATAATTCATTATACGAGAGATTTGTAAACTCACGTCGAGGCACTGAGCCCACTGTCCGGATTCCACCAATCCCTTGATACTGCTCATTTCGAGTAGCACCCGGCAAGCGACCTTGTTCTGGTCCTGGATCCTTCTATAGAACATGGCGTCTCGCTCGTACATGCTCATCATGGTCTTTGCCAACTCGACAGGATCATCAATTGCTGCCAAGCTGAGACTGCTGCCGGCGTCGGCGTCTTGTCCACCAGCTCGGGGCTTGACAGGCATGAGACGCATGGGGTCTTCGCCAATCTCCAAAGATACAGCCTCACTCAATGCACGGCTGACAATTGCAACGACAGTATCATACTCACCAGCCAGATGGTACAGTAACACAGAGTCTGTGGTGCGGCCGTTCTCATCCGCAAAACTGGCGGCCTGAAGTGTGACAGTGTTGACAAAGTCGTCCTCAGCATCAAGTCCAATGAGAGGACCGCGCTCCTCGATGATACCACGGATTCGTCGACCATCTGGTCGGATATCACCAATCAACTTGCTGAACTCGCGTGTCTCGAGAACCAACTCGCGGAGAGCTTCGTG